CCTACCCGGAGGCTAAGCGCCTGGGAGGTGGGCAGTCCCGTTGCGCACCCGTGCGCTGCAGTCCCTCACGCTGGCTACCCACTAGGCGCGCTGCAGTGCAGATGATCAGCCATCTCCAAAGCAGGTTCAAACACGATCGCCTGCACTGTGCAAACCCTAGGACGTTTGGCTTTAAGTCCAATGCCACACGATACTTGTTCTCATCAGGTTAGGCGTCCAAAGAAGGGTATTCTGGTCGCTGTGCACTCTCGACACGGTAGGCACACAGAAATTTCATGGGATTTCAAGAAGACTCACTTAGGGTACGTTCACACATCACGTCAAGCTCTTTTTCGACCAGTTTTTCACCCCGTGGCCCCTATCGTCTCAGAAGTACAAATACCTTTAGGTATTTCCCGAGTTTTATTTAACAGTCTTACGACTTGCACACTGCTCTAATGCGTGCTTCTAGGTGCGCTTTCTTGTGAGCGCCAATGTTACCAATACGTCGACAGTTGGGTTTATGCAACTGTGTGATGCTTTTTATCGTAGCTGATTGCCTGCTTTCCCGTTGTCGACGCCGTGGCCGCGGCGGTACTCGCCGGCCTTGGCCGTGAGACTGCAGCGCGGCGCGGCACCTTCGGCGTTCCCTCTCGCTTTGCTCGACACGTCATACGAGCTCGCTGTCACAATGGACGCCGCTCTGGTTAGCGCCGTGCGTGGGAGAGGAGGGGGTTGGAGGGGGGGGGGGGGCAATGTCGCGGGCAAGTCTCCGTACGGTTGGCGTGTTTATGGTTTTCGCAGCCGGTCAGGTGCTGGCCGGGGCCTTTGTTATGGTTTCACGCGCCGAACGCTCCACTGTCAGCAAAGCCTACAGTCGTTATAGTAAAACATCGACGTCATCCTGATTCCGTGTCACATACAGTTTACCATAAAAGCAATGAACAGTTTTAAACAATTTACTATAATTTAGAGTTTAAAACTGTCCTTGAATCGTAGTTTTTTTCACACCGGTACCCACAACCACACACTCGCACACACTAGAGATGAGCGAACAGACCAGTTTGAATTTGAACGAACTCGAACAAATTTGGTATAAAAATTTTCGAACGAACACGAACATGCATATCTTTCTTCGAACCGAACAATGTAATGTTCAAAGTCGATCCGAACACGAACAATTATTACAATTTGTCTTTTTCTTAGGAGTTATAAAAACGACCCAACATTGACGTTTAAAATTGTAGCCACACTGGTAAAACAAGTGTTTAATGTTGCACGTCAATTGATGTTGAAGTTTTAGTGTGCATTTTCTCAACACATTGTAGTGTCTAACTATATTAAACGTCAATTGGTGTTTAAACTTTCGACACTTCCGAAAATGTTAGACTGAGAGGCACGCAGTCTCGCACGTAGTTCAGACGCCCGATCCAAGAATAACGCAGTGCCAAGTGTGCAGAATTTAAACGTTTGGCAAACGTTTAAAATAGTGCACATCATGTAATGTGCAACATCATAACGTGCACACGTCGGTGTTTAAATTATGCACACTTGTTTTATCGGTGTATGTATTAACCTGGCATTGCCCCTTTAATTGCACCCCTATATGACTCGTCTTTCTGAAACATACCTCAAATCTGTTCGCCTACGAACATCTGTTCGTGTGGCACAAACAGCTCGATGTTCCTTCGAGTTCGATCGAATGCGAACATGTTCGCTCATCTCTACCACACACGTTGCTGAAATCCGCCGTCGAAGAGATTACCCGTTTCCTCCAGTGAGCTACGCCGGTTGCCCAATCACAATTATTATTTTTCCTGTCCCCAAAGGATCACTGCGATAGCCAAATCGTTTGCGTCAAACCCCATGGCGACCGTAAGCGCGCACTTGACCATATGGCTCGGAGCCGGACGCACGTTTTATCAGCGATATCATGTGCGGATTACGCCCCCACTAGGATAACTTAAACAAAGAAGATAACGCTAAAAAAAGGACAACGTCCCACCTCGAGGAGAGTACATGCTGTACATGCGCTTGGAGCTGCACTACCTGTTGTATTTTTAAAAATATTCACTGCTGAAAAAGTCAAAAGATCTATTATTAATGTTTTGGGGAGTACACTGGAAACGCAAGTGTGTGAATGTCGCTCACTCGTAGGTGAGCGAATTCGTACACTAACGGGGGGTAAACGTGTGAATTTTTCCCAGAAAATTCACACCTTTACCCCCGTAAGTGTACGAATTCGCTCACCTACGAGTGAGCGACATTCACACACTTGCGTTTCCAGTGTATGAAAAATCGTGTGTTTTCGTTGGTTTAATTCTGTTAAACTAGGCGTCACATCCGCGTTTGCAGAGCGATAAGATACAGATAAAGGTATCACCCCTAAAAGACGTCCAATCATTCCTAAAAGTAACGAGTGTTTTGATTGTTCGTTTTCAGACAGTCCTCAAGAGACTGTCTCTACTAGAAGCCAAAGTCTCCCCTTCCCCCCTCCTCGCTATCTACAGCTCAGAACTATGGCCCTCACGTCTGTCGTTAGGTTTGTGTATCGTTGGAGTTTTGTTTTTTTATTCATTGCATGGCGCTTTTTCCTGCTTTTTTCAGCCGTTGCAAAGCCATGCACAAAATATAATCTCCCCCGGGCTATGTTGCCAGTCGTAGCGCACCCGGGAGGGGGGGGGGGGCGTCTGGGGAATTCCCACTTCGGTAAAAGATAGAAGAGCTCATTCGGCAGGGGACACAACTGCTGGGGGACAGAAAGACAGAGGGGAGCGAAACCGACGAAACCCATCCAAAACCCGTGAAAGTAAATGATTGAAGCGAGTGTCTTGTGCGTGGCGTGGCTGCTAACCGGATGTCGCTTGGACCCAGACAGACCCCAGTGTGTCGTCGTCGTCATCGTCCAGCTCCGAAGACAACGATAACGCGGCGCCCCCCTTCCCTCTCCATATTCCCACCTCCAGACCCAGTGGGCACCGGCCCTCCGCCCTCCCGCCGTACTCACCGAGCCGCTTCTCGGAGCTGACCGAGGAGACGGACGACCTGCGCGCCATGCCTGAGCGTGGAGCAGCGCGTCAGAGTGATGCCGGGCCGGGCCGCGCGCTCAGACTGCGGCGGGGGGGCTCCCGGGCCGTCGCACCTCGCCGTCGTCTGCTGTGCCGAGGACGCCGTCACCGGCGGTGGGCAGTGTCGGCTGGCGGCGGCGGCGGCGGCTGTGCGGCATGGCCGAGGGCTGGCCGGGCCCAGCGCAGGGCGAGGTGTGGATGCTTCTTATCAGATAAGCTCGCGAAAATCACAAGCCGCCTCGTTCACCGGCGAACGAGCCGGTTGCCGTCTGCTGCAGCCAGTGTTGACGTTGTTGCTGCTGCTGCCGACGAAGGCCAGCACGAGTGTCTGCGGGGTCACGAGACGAAGACGACGACGACCTGCACGCCGGCGGGACAAGTGGGGGGTGAGCAGCTGAGCGGAGCTGAGCGGAGCTGAGCGGACAGCGGCCGGTAGAGTGCGGGCGGGCCGGGCGGCGCGGCGCCACTAGCAGACGACGCAATTATGTGACGGAGGCGGGGACGGCGCGCGCCACCGCTCCAAAGGCACGAGACAGCGGCCCACTTCCCCCCCTCCTCTCCCCTCGTTTGCCCTCCCCTGCCGGCAGCACCCTCTCCTCCGGCCAGGTGTGACGACTGGCAGCCTGCAGCCCCGCGGCCATGGACC